TAGAAAGATGATTTTATCTTTCACTGTACAACTTTCATACTATTTGAAATCTTTGCCATGATCATGTATTGCTTAAAAATATTAAGCAAAATATGTACATTTAGAAATACTGAGTTCCAAACTCTTGGTCCCTTTTTATCGGTATCCTCTCTTCCTTTCAGTTTGGATGTTTCATATTGAACAGCCACAGAAAGAAAATCCCATATGTGTTTGTTCCTGTTTTGACATGCCAAATATTCACTGTAGGACTTACCTTGTAGTGTAGAAGGCCTCCAAATTTAAGAAGTACTGGGAAATAGATGGACTTTAAGTAATAAAGGGTTGGACAACTGGATAGCCATTTGGGAAAAGATAAAAATGGATTTATATCTTACATCCTCACCCAAAATAAACTCCAAACAGATCAGAGAGTTAATGTTAAAAAAAAAAAAAGGAGCCATGAATGTACAAAAGAAAACATGGGTGAATTACTTTATGTACTAGAAGAAAACATGGATGAATTACTTTATGTGTATGGAGAAAGCTTTGCTAATCCTGATTCAAAATCCAGATTTAATATATGAAAAGATTGACAAATTTCATTCTATTAAAACTCAAAATTTTTGGTATGGTACAGTGGCTCACACCTATAATCCCAGCACTTTGGGAGGCCGAGGCGGGTGGACCACCTGAGGTCGGGAGTTTGAGACCAGCCTGACCAACATGGTGAAACCCCATCTCTACTAAAAATACAAAAATTAGCCAGGGGTGGTGGCACGCGCCTGTAATCCCAGCTACTCAGGAGGCTGAGGCAGGAGAATCGTTTGAACCCAGGAGGCGGAGATTGCGATGAGCCGAGATTGTGCCACTGTGCTCCAGCCTGGGCAACAAGAGCAAAACTCTGTCTCAAAAAAAAAAAAAAAACCCAAATTCTTGCATGGCAAAAACATCACAAATTCAAAAGACAAGTAACTAAATTGAAAAGAGTATATGCAATAGACATTACAGAGAAAGGGCTAATATCCCCCTAATACATATAGAATATTTGAAAATCAAGAGATGAAAGTCCAAAAACTTGAAAGCAACATGAGCAAAATAAATAGATGTTTCACAGAAAAATATATGCAAATGGCTTTTAAACATACAAAGAATTACTCACTTACTTACAATAAGAGAAACAAAAACAAAATTACACTTAAGATACTATTTTTTACCTCTTAGATTGGCAGAATTCTAAAGGTTGACAACACACACTTTCAGTGAGTCTGTCAGGAAAGAGATACACTCATAAATTGCTGGAGAGAGTGTAAAATGATCAGTCTCCAGGGAGGAGAATGTGGTATATCTAGGAAAAGTATGCATTTACCCTTTGACTTAGCAGTTCTTCTTGTTGAGATTTACTCTGAGATACATTTTCACAAACATGAACCACTAGTGATAAGGTAATTTTTTGAGACGTTATTTATTGTAACAAAATGTTGGAATTATTGTTGCCCTTGTGTAGTAGATAAGTTGCATTATCTGTGGTACATCCATACAACACAATGCACACAATGTAAAAAAGAATAAAGCAGCTCTATGAATGGATAAGAAATGACTTCCAGGATATGTTGTTAAGGGCAGGAAGAAAGATGTGAAAGAATGCATACAGTATGTTATCCTTTGTATAAGAAAAAAGGAAGAAAAAACCCTCCAAACCCATGTACTTCTTTGCTTATTTTTGCAAAAAAAAAAAAAAAAAAGAAAAGAAAAAAAGTAGGATGCATGACAGAATCTGATGAAAATGGTTGCCTATTTGGGGTGTGTGGGAAAAGGGTGGCAGGGTTAGGGATGGTACTGAGACTTCTTTGAATATATCTTTTAATATAACTTTGACATATAAATCATATAAATTTTTTATATACTGTATGTTAAAGTAAAATTAAATCAAATCAGTAAGGGTGAATACAAAGCAAATCTTAAAGCTCAATATAAAATGAAACAAAGAAAGCCAACTACATATCAAATTGACAACCTAACTGTACAGAAAGTAAATAACTAATTCAAAAACTTTTCAATGCAGCATTCTGACTGTACATTCTTAGTGGGTGATAGTCTAAAAAAAAGATCTGTAACGGCATCTTAAACGTATTTAGTCGGCTTGTTGCTGGTGGTTGTTTTGGTACAGTAATCCCCAAACTATTCTGAATATGTTGTAGGACTGAGCCAATGAGTTAAACATATTGATGGTGTTAGGAATCAGGGAGGAGTATGCAAACATAGCACAGGGAAAGATGAGGAAGAATCCTGGATGTTTAATTCCAGTGAAAGGAGTCAGTCTAAACTCAGATGTGTCCACTGAAATGTCCTAGAAGCAACAAACTCCAGTAACAATCAGCTCACTTAACACCCAGACTCGGTTTCTTGTTTTTAATTGGCTTAAAACAACAACAAACATGTATTACCCTCATAGTCTCTGTGTAGCTAACATCTGGGAGTGGCATAGATGGACAGCTCTGGCACAGGATCTCTTGTGATGTCATCTGAAGGCTGACCTGGAGCTAGCTGGATCTACTTCCAAGATGGCTCATCCCCATGGCTGGCAAGATGATGCAGGTTGCTGCACCGAGACCAGTGTCTGCCTACGTGCCCTTCTCCACAGGCTGCTTGAGTGCCCTCACAGCATGGCGGCTGGCATCCCCCCACTGAGTGAGCAGCACAAGAGAGGCTAAAGCTGAGACGGGGATGTCTTTTACGACCTAGCCTCAGCAATCCCACACTGTCACTTTCACAGTATTCTGTTGATCACACAGAACAGCCATGATTCAGTGAGACAGGACTACATGAGGGTATGAACAGTAGGCAGCAAGGATCATTTAAGCTGAGAACTAAAGGCTGAGTAAAGCAGCTAGTCGAGTGAAGAGAATGCAAGAAGTACACTTCTTATAAGTCATGGGACAGAACTTTGAAATAAGTTTATACGACTAGGGAGTAAAGATGAGTAAAGTTCTTGCAAGTTTTGTTAAGAAGCTTAGTTTTTACAATAAAGCCAATAAACCAACAAAGTGTTTATATTTTAGTAAGATCACTCTGGTTATTACATGGAGGGTGGACTGAAGGAACAAGGATAGGGAACAGGAATAGCAGTAAGGAAACTAGGAGACTATTGAGATGATCCTGACAAGAAATGGCAACTTTGACTATGGTGGTGGCAATAGAGGTGAGAAAAGTGGGCAAGTGCTGAGAGACTTAGGAGACAAACACACATGACCCAATGTTTGGACATATGGATCAGACATTAGAGAGGAATCAAGGTTGGCTGTGAGGTTTTTGACTTGTGCACATAAAAGGAACAGCAAGTTTGGGAATTAGAAAAAAGTGTATTTAAGATGTTGAGTTTGTAGTGCTTACACACATGGAAATGTCCAGTAGGCAGTGGGCATATGGGACCTGGGATCAGGAGATACATCTGGACATCGAAACTTACGGTTACCAGAATATCCAGATCTTAGTTCCTAAATACCATTCCCTGCTAAAAGAAACCAACACTTCTTAGAGACACGGCTAGTTACAAGTCTGCAGCCTCGAACATCTTCTTGTTCCAGAAAGCAAAGGAGAGCTGAAAGATGGATGGTGGCTTATCAGAAAATGTCATGAGCTGGCTTGAAGGAGTCCTCCCTAGTTAAACTTCAGACAATGTGAGCATCAAAGAGAATAATGATGGTAATAGAGTATAACATAATAAACATAGAGTCCAACATGATACTAAGAAATTAAAATTAAAGTTAGCATTTTATAAAGTGGTGAAATCCAAGTAAGATCTGTAGTCTAGTTCATCATGTTGTGCCACAGTCAATTTCCTGGTTTTGATAACATAATATGGAAGGTGTTATTATCACTAGGGGAAGATAAGTTTTGGGTACACTGGATCTCTCTGTAATATTTTTGTGACTTCTTGTGGACTTGTTGTTATTTCAAGATAAAAAGTTAACAAACAAACAATAAAAGGTATGTGTGTGTGTGCGTTGGGGGTGATATTCTTCATGGAAAGATTTCTGCCTGTATTTGCAGCAATCAATGGAATCATTGATTCATGCAAAGGTCATTAATGCATGACAAAAACCACTGGGTGAATGCTATTAGAGAATGGGATGTTCCCATGGTCTCACTCCCTGGATTATTCATTACATACAAAGGGTAAAGGAGCATTTATGGTGGAGAACTCTGGCTAACATCACCCTAACCAAGTAACAGAAGGAAATGACTGCCTCTCTAGTTCTTGCTCCTGAACTTTTGACACCAGTGCAGGATTGTTATCAATATTGACACAAAATGACATTTTGAACTTCCTGATATGCTGGGATGAAATATATCCAGCACCACCTAGGTAGCATTTATGCCAAACATGTCTAATCTGAATTCAATAATGAAGAAACAAACATACAAATTTAGGTTATAGGACATTTTACCAGACAACTACCCTGAACTCCAAAATTATCAGCCACGAAAGATAAAGTGAAATAAAAAAATAAGTAATAGACCGTTGTAGATTACATAGACTAAGGAGACTGAAGAAAGTGACATGCAATGGATGATTTTTTTTTTACTGGATTCTGGGTCAGAAAAAAAGTTACAAAGAACATTAATAAGAAAATTAGAAAGTGTATATATAGACAGTATTTTAGATAATATTACTGTATTAATATCTTGGGAAGTAAATGTCTTGGTAATGCAAAAAAACACCATGCTTATGTAGGATAACACCCTAGTTCTTAGAAAATTTAAGATATCTGTAACTAATTTTCAAATGGCTTAGCAAAAATATTCAATTGAGGGAGACACACACACACACAGAGAACACAAACAAACAGATCAAAATGTTAGCATAAAGGAAATAGAAAAATGAGTTTTCACCTTGTTTTCAACTTTCTGCAGGTTTAAAATTTTTCAAAATGAAAACTTGGGGAAAATAAGATAAACTGGCATTAGTTTATAAATTATGTCATTATCCTGCATCTAAACTGGAATTCCTTCCCTTTCAGCTCATCCTTTTCCCCACATCTCAGCATGATACAGCAAGAGTTGCCTGGGGCCTCATGGCCCAATGGGGCCCAGGCCTCGAACAAATTTGCAGAGAAGTTTTGCAGGCTTCTGCCACCTCTGGACTCTGCTGCTGCACCAGCAGGGACTATTCGTGGAAGCTGTTTGACTCATCACTGAACCTAAAAGAGTGTCTGGGGAGCTGCAGGGCCTCAGTGGCCTAAGGCTTCACGAGCCCTTCTGCTTAGAGAGTTAATGCCTGAGACTAAAATTTGGGGTAACAGGACAGATTTCCGCTCAGCAGCAAAAGCTGCCCCAGCCTTTCTTATAAAATGGAGAGTGCAAATAAAGAAGTTGATTGTTTCTAGGAGAAAGGTGTATACACCAACCACTGTATTTTTTTATTTATTTATTTATTTTTTTTTTGAGACAGAGTCTCGCTTTGTTACCCAGCCTGGACTGCAGTGGCAGAATCTCAGGTCACTACAACCTCCGCCTCCCAGGTTCAAGAGATTCTGCTGCCTCAGCCTCCTGAGTAGCTGGGATTACAGGCATGTGCCACCATGCCCAGCTAATTTTTTTATTTTTAGTAAAGATGTGGTTTCACCATGTTGGTCAGGCTGGTCTTGAGCTCCTGACCTCAAGCAATTCACTCACCTCGGCCTCCCAAAGTGCTGGGATTACAGGCATGAGCCACTGCGCCTGGCCCACCAGCTGCTTTTGGATGGATCCACTATTACTGTGGAATATTCAAATAACCAGCCATGACCATCTAACCAGCCAATAAACCAACCAATAAATGCATCTACTCATTCAACACATACGTACTGGGCTGCTTGCTTTGTACTGTATATTGGAGCTACAAAGATAAAACACGGTCTATTCTACTGAAGAGTGGATTGGCTGGGCGCGGTGGCTCATGCCTGTAATCCCAGCACTTTGGGAGGCCAAGGCGGGTGGATCACCTGAGGTCAGGAGTTTGAGACCAGCCTGACAGACATGGAGAAACCCCGTATCTACTAAAAATACAAAATTAGCCGGGTGTGGTGGCGCATGCCTGTAATCACAGCTACTCCAGAGGCTGAGGCAGGAGAATTGCTTGAACCCAGGAGGCGGAGGTTGCGGTGAGCCGAGATCACGCCATTGCATTACAGCCTAGGCAACAAAAGTGAAACTCCATCTCAAAAAAAAAAAAAAAAAAAAAAGAGAGAGAGAGAGTGGTTTGTGTATTATTATTGCCACACAATAATTAGTAAATGCATGACAGCAATTTTCATATTGTAGCAGTGAGGTAGTGCACTTAACCTAAATTAGGAGGAGAAGGCATGAGAGAAAACTTCTTGGAGAGAAAGAATATTTTCTTTCACTTTTAAAATTATTTCCTTTTGTCCTCAAAGTTAAAAATAAATCAGGAACTAGGGCCCACAGTAGGGGAGGGGTGAAAAGCGGTTTTAAAAGTTTAATCAGGCTTCTTTCATTTTTTTCCCATCTCTGCAACTGGGCTAGGGTGACCATCTCATCCTCATTTGCCTGGGACTTGCCTGGTTTTAGCATTGAAAAGTCTTGAGTCCCAGAAAACCCTTATTCCTGGCCAAACTGGGACCATGGGTCACCCTATGACCCTCCCACCTTACCACAGCATCTTTCTGTTATGAAGAATCGTATGTGAAGAAAGAATTAGATAACGTGCTAGCTCTGAGAATTCTGAAGTAGATGAAGAGAAATGAGAAGGGTAAAAAAGCCAACTTCATTTCTTCATTTTCCATACAAATCAGATAGTGAACAAGCATGGTGCCTGGAGGGCTTGCTTCTCCTGCCTACTGTATTTTGTTGCTGCACTCCATTCCTCCTCAAATGTTTTCCCTTCTTCATAAGTATATCCCAATCTTCCCCGTCCAGGCCTAGCTGAAACCTTTCCCAACTGTTCTAGCTGAAAATGGCCTCCTCCACCCGCTACCCCGTGAAATGTGGGTGTTTGTTGTCTGTGTGCTCTTGTGGTACATGGCAACTCTTAGAGTTAGAAAGCCATAGAGAACTCGAAAGGAGTTCAGAAATTTATGTGCTCATGTATAGTTTCATTCATTCTTTCATTTGCTCATAACTAGTTCTTAGAAAATTTAAGATATTTGTAACTAATTTTCAAATGGTTTAGCAAAAATATTCAACTGAGGGAGATAAACACACAGACCCAGAGAGAAAGAGAGAACACAAACAGATCAAAACGTTAGCAATCAAGGGGAACGAAATATGAGTTTTCATATTTTCAACTTTCCACAGGTTTAAAAATTTTCAAAATAAAAACTTGGGGAAAATATGATGAACTGACATGAGTTTATCCATAAATTATGTCATTATCCAGCATCTAAATTGGAATTCCTTCCCTTTCAGCTCATCCCTTCCCCACATCTCAGCATGATATATCAAGAGTTGCCTGGGGCCTTGTGGCCCAATGAGGCCCAGGCCTCAAACAAATCTGCAGAGAAATCTTGCAGCCCTCTGCCACCTGGGCACTGGAGATTCCAAGGTGAATCGGGTCCTGTCCTTGAGGAGCCCCTACATGTTAGGGAGGTGGTTGGATACATGAGCAGATACAACACATGGCAGAACGTGTTGGATGGAGGCTGAGCACCGGTGAGCAGTTGTTACTGGAGCAGGTACTGAGAGCGGTAGATACTGTGCTATGTGATAAAGAGGTACAAAGACCTTTAAGATGGTACAATCAGTGTAGGGTCAGCAGCAGATCTGAAAACACATGATTTTAATACCATATGGTAAGTGCTACAGAAAACATAAGCCTAAGGTTCTCTGAGGATGCAGACAGGAATATTGAACAAAGCAGGGGACTGAGTCAGGGCCATGGGGACTGAGGATGTGGCATCCAAGGTCACCGGTTGGAGGTCTGGAAAAAAGATGATAAGGGCAATAGGCACAGTGAGGGATTGGCAGATTAGGGACAACTTTAGCAGAGGAAATCAGTGGGGCTTCGTGACTGATTATAAGCGCAGGGAAAATCATATGCCTTCTTGTGCTGTGTCTTCTGGGATGTCTCGTACAGTACACTGCACATGGTAGGCGTTTAGCATATCTCTGTTGATTGAGTTAGTTGAGACATTAGGCAGAGTCTGAAAACCCCCCAGACCGAGAAATGGCATTTAAATTGTGTGTGCATCTGTGTGTGTGTGTGCAAGAATTATAAAATGCAACAAATTTTAGGAAATGCCGTAATGCTGTTGTGGACTCTTCTTGGAAAGTAGTTATGGCATGAAGAAAAGCGAGAGAGCCCAGTAGAAGAAATATTTCTCTTTATGTATTTGTCGTGTTTCTTCACTATCTGTAAGTCCCATCCTTACTCATTTAGAACTGATTAAGAAGTAAAATAAAATTGAAATATGTAAGTGTCCTATCTCCCTATCCCTTCTATGTCAACGTATGCATGAGCTTGTGTACACACACACACACACACACACACACACAGATTTTTGTTGTTGTTGTTGAGATGGAGTGTCATTCTGTAGCCCAAGCTGGAGTGCAGTGGTGCCATCTCGGCTCACTGAAACCTCTGTCTCCCAGGCTCAAGCAGTTCTCGTGCCTCAGCCTCCCGAGTAGCTGGGACTACAGGCACACACCACAACACTTGCTAATTTTTTTGTGTTTTAGTAGAGATGGGGTTTTACCATGTTGCCCAGGGTGGTCTCGAACTCCTGAGCTCAGGTTATCCGCCCGCCTCGGCCTCCCAAAGTGCTGAGATTACAGGTGTGAGCCACAGCACCCGGCCACACACATAGATTTATTGTTTATTTTTTCTTCTGTGCTGAGTTAATATATTCCCTCGATAGTCAAAATATAAATTTATGTGGTTGGGAGTGGCGTGGACCTTTACACCTGGGCTTTAATAAACATGCTTTGATGTCGACCTCCAGGGCCACATTATCATTTGCCTGGATTTGAAGAGGAGACACAGGACATTGCTGGATTCAGATGAACAGCTCCAATCTCCAGTCTATCACCCGTCTCCTTGAATTGCTAGGACAGTGGGAAGAAGGAGCACAGAGAAAAGTTCCCCTTCTGCCTTTGCATCTGTGCCAGAGACTTCCCAAAGCACTTCTCAATCTGTTCTCTCCTGTGTGTTCCTCTCGCACACCTGCCTGCCGGGTGCTGCTGCAGCATCAGCGGCTCCAGTGGCTGGTCTGCTGCAGATGGACCCGGCACAGCAGCTCCTGTTCCTCTGAGTTCCCGTGGCCAGAGGCAGGGAGAGAAAAGCCAAGGTTAGAGGTGGGGACAGAAGATTGGCTCTGGATCCTCCAACAGAAGTTGGGTGCCGCAAGGAGGGCAACTGCTTTTGTCTGGTTGTCTTGGCTTCTACTTGGAGAAATGCAGAATTCTTCAGTTGTCAACGTTGTTACTATAACATTTGCATCTTGGGATACTGTGGCTAGGACTCAGGTGCCATCTAGGAATCAAAGGAGGCCAAGTCCTCCCCTCTTTTCAGCCCCTGGGTCACTGGATGCTTTCCACTACACCCTTAGTCGTAAGTGCCATCAGTAACACACGTGGTGTGTTAATAGCTATTGAACGCTGCCAGTGTGGGGGCGCTAGGCTATGCACCCTGTATGTATCATGGTATTTCATTTAATTACACCAGCATTTTAAGGCGGGCATTGCTATCCTTGCTTTACAGTTGAGGAAATCCAGGTCCTCAAGGCCAGTAAGTAGTAGAGTCAGGATTTAATCCCAGGGTGGCCTGGCTGCGAAGCCCCTGCCGCGCTGCCTCCCAGCAGGTACAGAACACCACGTTAGCAGTGGGCCGAGCAGGGCAGCTCTTTGTATCACAGGCCTGTCTTCGGACCCTGTTAGGTCATAAATTGGTGGAGAGTACAGACCATGCCTTCTAATTGTTTTATGACACAGTCTCATCACCTGTGAAAAACAGAGCTAATCTTTCTGTTTATTCTCCAGTGAGTCAAACCAAATAATGTCCATGTGAGCCTTTGAAACATGGGGAAGAAAGAGGGATTAGGGCCTCCGGCACGAAGAAGAGCCCATGTAGCTCCTCTGGAAGCCCACCCTCTGCCTTCTCAGTGCGCCATTAGAGCTCGCTCAGTTCTTCCGCAGATTCCTCCTGGTGTTCGGTGCCGGATAAACAGTCTCTCAAATTTCTTACATGTTATGAGGCATTGCAGATGACTCTGTATAATCAAATGTGCCATTCCACATCTCATTTGTAATTTCACAATTTAGCTCTCTGCGCCATTTAAGCACATATAGAGCCTCTAGAGAAATCCTTATTTTTTTGCTAAAGCTTTTATATGTGAGTTTTGTGCTGATTTTGGTCTTTGCTATATCTAATAAGATTCTCCCAAAGTTTTCTCACCACGAAAGGCTTTATAAAATTTAAGGAACCATGGAAATAAACCCCGGCCTATTACAAATCAAGTAGGCCAAGGAAGTATCAGGTAAGAGGCCCCAGATTAGAAGCTGAATGTTCATTTCCTCTTGTGTCTATTGTCCTATTCCCTCTGCTTCATTTTTTTCTCTGATCATGTTTAATAATTTTGGAGCAATTTGTAACCAGCTCCCCCCAAACACTTATTTATAACTTATAATTATCATCAGTAGTAGTAATGTTTATTTTTTCAGCATGGCTTAGAGTTTATAAAATGTCAATATTACTTCTGATGATTAGCATAATAACTGTGGTGGGCAGGGATCAGATTTATCAATGGAGGCACTGAGTCTTGAGGATGTTAAAGACCTTACCCACCTTCATGTCCTGAGTAAGTATTAGACTCAGCATTTCGGAATCAAGTCTTGAGAATGTAGTTCAAGCAACATCATGCAACCTGTCCGCCTTGTTTATTAGCTTCTATAAAGCATTTTTAGGCAGACACTATAAGGCGCCATGGAAAACTGGGCTGCATTTCATGGACTAGAAAGATTTACATGAGACGTGTTCCCAGGCAGAAGGATGAGAGGCACAAAGAAAGGGTGAGAAACAATGGTCTGAAACAGCCAGCACATGGGCTCATTAACCTCTTCTAAACAATCGCTCATCTCTCCTAGCTCCCTGCTGACCAGAAATAAGTCAGAGGGGAATTTGTGTGGTAAACTTTCACCTACAGGGACCTGATCTCTGGAGAGAAAAAAGACATCACCAGTGGACAGAGTTTGCTTTCTGTGCTGAGTCATGGGGGTAGTTCTTCTTTCTTGGAATAATTGGGAATCATACTCCTGGGGAAAATACCTGTGTCCCCAGCAGTGTTGCTTAAATGACATGAATGCCAAGGGCAATGTATCTCCTGTTAAAATGTCTAACTTCCTAATGGCCTTTTCCAACTCACTTAGCATTCATTTATCACATTCTCATGTTACCCACTCAGTAATAATAAAATAATAATAATAATAATAAATAATACTCTGGAGCAGAGTCAGGGAAAGTTGGGACATAGCCCTGCAGGTTAATAGTAAACCATTTAAAAGGAGGAGGAAAAGTACCCAAGCAGGGGTAATGGCAGAAGCATTGTGTGAAGACCCCAAAGTAGTCAAAAACATGGCAGATTCTCAGCAATGTAGAAGATGCAAGTCCCAGGACTTACAAGTTGGTTGACCTGGCAGAGGATGATGGAGGGACGAGCGCCAATGGCTCCCAGGGGTCTGGCAGAGCAGCTGCATGGGCCACTGAGTCATTTCACAAGGTGGGGGATGAAAAAGCGAGTTCTTTCTTTCCTTCTTGCTTTCCTTTCTTCTCTTTGTTCTTTCAGGCTTGCTGATCGGTGCAGCTGAGAACATGTCGAATTTGATGTGTCTGTGGATATTTGAGTCTGGAACATTGAAGACAGGTTTGGTCTGGAGATGTAGACTGCGGATATCTCAGCACACAGATGATCACTGAAACAATGGAGCGGATGATATCACCTGGAGAGAGTCTAGTGTGGGAAGATTCTTCTCTGAGGTGGTTGAAGGATGTACTTCTTACTCCAAAGACTGAAACAGAGACAAGAGAACCTGAAGTTTCAGGGTTTTGTCACTGGGAAGGCAGTAGAGTGTGTCATATCCCAAGAGTGAAGCAAGGACAAACCAAAGAACAACTGGGAAGATCTGAGAGAGAAAGGGTGAAGGCAGTGGCTAGGAGAAGTGAGAGAAGGTTATGTGAGGAGCAAAAAAACTGGGAGGACTGAGTGGCTCTGGATATTGTCCTTAAAGAAGCTCCACACTCGAGAGGCCCTTTCACATGACGGCTGATGTGTGCTTGGAAGGTGGTCGTGGGCATTTGAAAGGGAGTACTGGGCTGGGTGCTATTATTCCTAACATTACCATGTGTTCCTTGTGAGGCTAGCTTACATGGAAAAGACCTTCAGATTTGTGCTTTGTTGAGCACATTGTGTCCTGCCTTAGTTTCCCCAAGGTCCTCATTTTTTTTTTCTTTTTTTCAAGAGACAGGGTCTTACTTTGTTTGGCTGGCTTCAAACTCCTGACTTCAAGAGATCCTCCCACCCATCCCACCCAAAGTGCTGGGATTACAGGCATGTGCCACTGTGCCTAGCGGGTCATCAGTCTTTGGGATGCTGTTGACAAAGCCATTTGATGATATCAAAGAGAGAATGAAGCAGAAGGTTTTTTGGCCCCTCTGCTTGGGATGCCACTTGCAGACAGAACTCTCCACAGGTTTACCATCCAGTAAAGGATCACCTGTTTATAGCCTGTGTAATGTCAATGATGATTCTTGGAAACAATTCCATTCTCATATACATCTTGACGTTTCATGGCTGAGCCATTTGTCAGAGTGCTCTGGCTTCAAATATACCTTCAAGTCTTAAGACATGAACTTTTGAGGTGCAGGAATCAGCAATTCTAAAAGTCACAGGTCTTCCATCCAATGTCCTGGTTGCCTTCTAGATCCTGTTCTAACAAACGTATCTCCAAATCTCAGTTGCTTAACCCCATACAAGTTTATGTGCCGAGAACATCAAGATGAAGGTATGGTCCATGAACTAGCAGCATTGGCATTACCTGGGAGCTTGTTAGATAGAATTCAGAATCTCAGACCTGCCTCAGACCTACTGAATCAGAATTTCATTTTAACAAGATCTCCAAGTGGTGTGTAAGCACATTAAAATTTTGGAAGTGCTGCCCTAGATTACCAAAGTATCCTTGATGGTTCTCATAGCTGAGGGATAAAAGGAAATCAGACACAATAAAACAGAAATAGGAGAAAACAGAGGCAGTTCAACCTGCTGGCAAATCTTGAATTATGCCAAACTATGTAAAGTCTATGCCTGAAATCTCAGCATACGAGTGCCCAGAGCATGAGCTATTGGAGCCAGCCTTGGCTCATGACCAGTGCATTGTTCAGTTAGATGGTCCTTCTTCTTCTATGCTTGATTACCTGGAGGACAGATGCCAGGACAGGCTGATTTCCATTTCTTCAGCTTACCTCTTTGCCGTTACTGCCTGGGTGTGCAGGTGGGAAGAAGAGGAACTAATTGAGTTCATTTGATTATAAATGGAAAATACAGCACAGCTTTTCCCCCGTGTGGCACCCCAAAGAGCTAACATTAAGGGGGTGATTACTGGCCCTTTATTATTTTTGTTTTGGTAAATCTGGTTTTCCTGCACCCCCACACCTATGTTCAAGGTTAATTCTGTGTTATTTTCTCCCTGCAGGCCTGTGCTGAGTGCCACAGGGAACAGCATTTAGCAACATCAAGCAGGAGAGGCAGAGAAAGCAGCAATAACTCCACATATGACTTGGAAATTGGCTCAGTCTCATGGCAGGAGATGTGTGTTTTTATGGTGTTAAGTGTGAAGGAGTGAAAGCAGCCAGCGATCAGGAGCGCCAACGCAGCTCCTTCCCAGGAGCCTTCCCGGCTGCTTCCCCTTTGTGGGAGATGTGCTGGAAGGAGTACTAAGAGGAGAGGTGCTTTGCTTTAGTAGGATGGCAGCTTTGGGAAAGGGACGTGAGAGTGAGTGTGCAGAGAGCTTGGGCTGAGTGCAAGAGATAAGTGGGATGCATCGTGTCTTAGAGGCGATCAAGCAAGAGAGGATGGGGTGGCAGACGCTTCAACTCTCTAGCCCCTCCTTCCAGGGCAGAGCCATTTTCGAGACCCACGCCTTTTCCCATCCATAGGCTGCTGAAGGCAGAAACAGCCCAGCACTTAAGAGGGGAGCAGACAGTTACATCACCGGTCTGGGCAGTATCTTCTCAGCCTCAACCATTATTTCCTCCCTTCCTTTAACAAAGACTCCTAGTTTCCCCACCCAATATCCAGTCTCCATTTTCTTCCTAACTGAATGTTGACTTCTTCCCCCCGGGGAACAAGATATCAAGGAAAATGATGCACCTTGCTTGCCTCCCTTGCAAGTGGGCCTGGCTCATCCATCAGAGGTAAGCAGAAGTCAGCAGGTGGAACTTCCAGGCAAGTCCTTCAATGCAGCTGACTCCGCTGGGGGATGCTTTTTCTCTTTCTTCTTCTTTCTGCCTAATATGTGGACATCTGTTCGGATCTTGAGGCAAATTCGATGACAGAATCACATCCTAGAGGTAATAAAGCAGACATTTAGGAGGACACTGGTATCTGATGACTGCTATATCTGCCTACGACTGGATTTCAGTGTAAGAAGCCACTTGTTTGAATTTTCTGTGCATGCAGGGAACTCCATTCTCAGTGCTATATCTCTTGCCTATGCTGCCTATATTAGGTAGGGAAAGTAAATTTATCTGCTGTAACAAACAACTTCCAAATCTTAGTAGCTTAACCCAACAAAAGTTTGTTATTTATGTTGAGACAAATGCATCCATAACTGGTTGGCCAGCAGCTTCCCTGGGACCCAGGGACACGTGGTCCTTCTGTCTGTGTCTCTACTGAACCATATGCCCTTCACATCTTCTATGTGGCCGCAGCTGGAGAAAGTAAGCAGGACGAGCACATGAGTGGTTTTATGGGCCATGCTCTGATGAGGCATAGTCAGTGTTCACTGAGATTTCATTGACTGGAATTCAGTCACATGGTCACAGAGGGTGCTGGGAAGTGTAGTTTCGGTATATGCTCAGGAGGAAAAGGAAATTAATTTTGGTGAATACATCATAGTTTGCCAACCACACCTAGAAGAAAGGAAGAGGAAAGGAAAACAAAGGAAGGAAAAAGAAAGAGAGAGGAAGGAAAGAATGAAGGAAGAAGGAAAAAAGGAAAGAAAGAAGCAAAAAGAAAATAAAGAGAAAGAAAAGGAAAGAAAAAAAGAGAAAAGGCCAGCAAATGCTCAATTGCTCTCTAGAGGTAATTAAAACATGTTTTCTGAGGCCCAGAATATGTCAATTGGTAGAAGAATGGAATCAATGAATGTCATTGATTCCAAATGGATTTATGTGTTATCCAGCGTTCCCTTCCTTCAGAAGGGTCTTGTTCAGCACCTCCATGTACAGAACACTGTGGCTACAGTTCACTGGGGATGAGGGGAAGGCTCTCTATGAAAGCCAGTGTGGATTCACAGCCCCAGCAGAGGCCAGACTAGTGGAGCCTATTCTGTTCAGGAAGGCTAGTGGCCCAGGAGCTAGATAGATCTTGGTCAGAATCTGGGTTCTTTGTTGTAACCAAACCTGAGGCTTACCCTGAGCAGGCAACTCCCCTTTTATGGGCTTTGTTTTCTCTATTTCCTGATTTGTAAAGTAGGAATAATAATAACTGCCCTATGTGTGTCCCTCTCTCATTAGGAGTAAGTAATGTAATAAAGCTCTTGCCCCAGAGTAGAGGCTCAGTAATTGCCAACTGTTGTTCTCACCTACTTCGGCCTTCTCTTTAGTTGGCCTCTTGTTGCCTATGGAGCAAAACGTCACAGCCTGGTGAATGAGACGGTTCTCTCTCTGGCTCTACCTATATTTCCAGCCTCATCTCCTGCCACATTGTTCGTTTATAGTTCTGCTTCACACCTGAACTTCTACTGTTCCCTAGGCCTGCCAGGCCCTTCTGACCTGCCAGGCCAGTTCTGCAACCTGACGCCTCTGTTCCTGTCACTCCCTTTACTTCTAAAGTGGGGTCTCTCATTCTTAGCACTACTGCTGACATTTTGGCCCAGGTCATTGTTGAGGAACTGTTCTCTGCATTCTAGGATGTTTAACAACATCTCTGACCTCTACCTACTAGAAGCCAGTAGCACTCTCCTGCCCATAGTCATGACAACCAAAAATGTCTCCAGACATTGCCACATGCCCCTGGGGGCACAATCACTGCCTGTTGAGGACCCCTGTTCTAATGTCTTGCACTCCCTCGTCTGGAAGGTACTAAGAAGAGAGATGCTTTGCTTTAGCAGGAGGGCAGCTTTGGGAAAGAGCCTACACATATTTGAATCCGTACCTATAATGTCAGTCCCCACTGTAAAACTTCCCCTGTCTTCTCCAAAAATAATCAAATATGAATCGCCTTGTCCTCTGTGGCCTCATGGCGTTTCATTTGGTTTTTTTTGTTTGTTTGTTTAGCATTTACTTCTCTTGTTCTCATTTATCTGTCCACTAGACTTGCTGCTATCTTGTTCATCTCTTTATCCTCAGCATCTAGCATAGTTTCCAGATGCTTTTTTTAAATCATAAAGTAAATTAAAAAATATTTAAAGTTAAATGAATAAATTAATGACTGCTGAGTAAATAAATGCCTTCTCGAAAGACAGATTGCTGTTTACGATTAATTTGAACAGTGGAGCTACTGTCTGATTAAAATAAAAGCTGAAAGTATGAGTGCTGCTGAGCGCTTGGGTGGGTTCAAGGAACCATAGAACTCAGGAGGTGTGCTTTGTCCGTAACATCTGGATTCCAGGAGGCGATGGAAAGAAGCTTGGGAAGTTAGAAAGGAGGGAGGGTTGGGATGACCATGGGGCTTGAAAAAGATCTGCTAGGAAATCTGGGGAAACTTCAACTGCTTTGGGGAAACAAAGCACAAGGGTATGAAATGGTGAAGCAGGTGACAGACAAGGTCCAAATGAACCACTTGGGGCAGGGCTAATAAGGGAGTTCAAAGAAGGGTGTCAGTCACGGCTAGAGAAGAAAGGGCTTCTGGTCAGAGGCCCCCCTCGCTCTCTGACCACATCTATTACCATGACAACACACTTCCCGCAAGGGCTCCAGTCCAGCCCAGCTGGCCTCCTTGCTGTTTCTCCACACCTGCTGTGCTCCCACCTCAGGGTCTTTATGCAAAGAGACCCTGGTCTCCTGCTTATCTTGCTCCCTCATTTTATTCAGATTTCTGCTCAGATCTCAAGCCCTCTGACCTCTAGATCTACATTATTATCCCTCTCTACCCCTTACCCATATTTATTTTTACTCATAGCATTAAATATTTAACTGCCTGTGATCTACCTCCTAATTGAATGTGAGTTACATGAGGACAGAGATTTTTTTTTTTTCCACTGCTGTATCTTTGATGCCTGAAGCAATGCCTGGTGTACAGTAAGTGCTCCACAGGTATTTGCTGAATGAATAAATAGATGCATGATTGGAGGGAGTTTGGTTTCAGCTGGCCTTGAAAGAGCGGAAGAAGAGGTGGGTGTGGAGCCAGCCAGTGAATGGGGATGGAGGAGGCTGCAGATTCAGGGCCCCTTCCAGTTGTGGCCTCTACTCATCCCCTCTTACAATGTGCCAGGGAACCAGGATGCCTTCCTCAAAAGCTGGCAGGAAGAAGGGAGGGCAGAAGGATTCGCATTTGGCCTGCTTCTTCTGCTAAGGCAGACGTGTTAGAAAAGATAATTGCAAAATATCAAGTGCCATGGAAACACTTATTAATACCAGGGGCTGGTGCTTCGATGGAGCCGGAGGCTTGCTCTGGCTCCAGTGAACAGCCAGCAGTTCTGAAGCTCATCCAAAGTACTTGGTTTCTTGGACCCAAAATCACAATGCTCAGTACACAGTGATTTAGTGCCTTCTGTCAGAGCTTCTCAGAGCATGTCACCAGCACTCACCCTGCCCACGTCCTCGGGAGGAGGTGGCACTGAGCAGCGGGTGCGCGGTCCAGTTTGTTTGTGACTAATGTGTTTTTGGAAACTTATACCCCCTCTTCAGCTACCCAGTTTTCCTTTTGCTTTGCGTGTCTCTGAGCTGTCCATTTGTTCTTCACAGCCAGGAATAATAACCTCTCTAACCTCCAGCATCAAAACCCTGCTCCCCAGCCAGTTGTTTTAGAGGCTCACAGCCTCAATGGGGTATGGAAGGAGGGTATGGGAGGCAGCTATAGGGACACTCTGTCTCTGTGTTGCCCACAGGAGGAATCTGAGTGGTAGCTTCCCTAATCCCATGACTCAGCTAGGGACAGAGGAAGGAGAAGGGAACAGGGAGACACACTGGGGGTTCAGTTTGCTCCTGGGTGGTGCTATGTGGGATCCATACACACTTACTCCATTTCCGGGGAGGCTGAGCTTCTCTGAGTGGAACAGCAGAGGGGCTGGTGCGTGGGAGACAGAGATGGGTAGGTGATGCCATGGGATGCCAGAAATAGGAAACACTCAGGACAGCCGTGAGTCACACCGGCCTCTCATATTTTTTCCTAAGTGTGGGGAGGGGAGGCAAGTTCATGTAGACTGTGCACTCAGAAAGCAGAAATATCTAAATATCTTAGCCATTCCCCAAGGATGCTGGTTTCTCTTAAGGTAATCCCTATGTTTTCTTGATTTGATGGTTCAGGAGTGAGCAAATCTGTTGTCTTGCATGAAAACATTTTAGAGTCCCATAATGGGTACATCTTTCCTCCTTCATAGCCATTCTTGTTTTCAAAAAATTTTCTTAATCACATCATATTTTCTCTAGCTGACTTTATTGTAAGAATGTAGTATATAACACATATAACATACAAAATGTGTGTATACCAGTGCTGTGGGCCAGTGCTAGCTGAGAGGTAGCATTGTTATAATTCTTTTCTTCATCTTGGTTTTAATTTTAGAGGCCAAAGTCATGTGCTTATGTTATTAGTAAGGCTTCCGGTCAGTAGTATCCTATTAGCAGTGAAGTGTTAGGAAAGTCAAGTTATAAGTGAATTGTTGACTGAGCAGGGATTCAATGCACCTAACTCCCATATTGTTCAAGGGCTATTGTGATTCCTTTTGTTTTTTCTTTCAGGATGCCCTCAATGTTTATAATAACCAGAATTTGCCTGTTAAAAAATTAGGTAGCTTTGGAGACAGAAGCGTATGATGTGATTTGTCTTATACCTTGCCCCATTTATTTTTATTATTTTTTATTTTTAAAGATTTAGTGACTACAAGTGCATCTCCTTGCGTGGATATATTGCATGGGCTTTTAGTGTAACCATCACCCAAATCGTGTACATTTTACCCAATAGGTAATTTTTCATCCCTCACCCGCTTCCCGCCTCAAATCCATTCTAAGCATATGTGAACCATCTCTCCAGT